GTACTACTACTTGTATTTAGAGCTCATGGTGCCTAATCAGATGCCATTGGCATGGGAACGCTGCGTATACTTAATTTCAGTTGGTTTCTCTGGCCGAGGGCGTGCTTTATTTTAGGATGGAAGTGCTGCTTATTAAGCTATGACTGAGAAATGTTTATTTAAATTGCTTAGTGGGCTTTATTAAGTGATTAACATTTTACTTGAGTTAAATGTGTGTATTTTGCAATTATAAAATGTAATTACTTAAAAAAAAGCAAAAGCTTTCAAGCTTCTAAATTTGTTTATACTAGTGGCATATCGAGCACATGAACACTTTAGAAGCACTTATAAAAAGTGCCAGGCGAATATTAAATATACTTCAAGACCTCTTGGCCTTGGTAGTTTCTAATGAAAAGTTTGTCGAATGTCAATAGCAACTCGGAAAGGAACCCTTACCTTACCCGTTGAAGAAATGTTTCCATGGCAGCTGTTAGTGAAGTTATCTGTTCTCAGTACATCTAGCTTATGGAGCAGGAAACAAAGCTTGACAAACTGTAGTTAGTGTAAACTTTTTCAATATAAAGGGAGCTGCGATCAACGTATAAATTTGTTGGAGATGGAATACATCAGGTCGATTAGAGCGTGGCTTGGTAATTGAGAGCGTATATACGTATTTACCAACTCTTTTGGAACTGATCTTGGCCAAGGCCCAGATGTTTGTCAGAAGGCATCTACAAATCGTTGTCTTTGCAACTGCTTAATTTTGATTTGAACAATATTATTTTGTAAGCCCCTCCTTGCCTTGATATAAACTGTGTTTTGCACAGATGGAGATATCTCGGGCTCTATATGCTCTCTAGCGCTCTGTAATTATTTGTGACATGACTTTAATACGTCCCGCTGGCTAATAAAAATAATTAATAATTTAGTTAATAATTGCAGTTTCAAAGGTCATTCAATTACAGTCATTCAAATTTGTTGACAATTATTTTATTATATTCAACATTTAATTATGTGATTTCCTTGCATTTCCTTGATTACCTCGCAGGCAAATTGTGTTTTCAATAAGAATTCGAATTTCCCAGCGAATTTAACGTATGCTATCAAATAGCCGCAGGTGCACGTAAGCAAAATAGAAAATGTTTAGAATAATTATAGTGCTGCGTAATTCTATTTACCTCCCATCGCGATAGCCATAGATTTGTTTGGCTGTCGCATTTGGTAACGTGTTTGGGATCTGGATTGGGATTTCAGTAGGGCCAGACAACGCGACATTGGCACGTGTTCAATTCAACTAAGTATGCCGCCAAAAATTCGGATCCTGGTCACAAGGACTCCGGCGCACGGTTGTCATAAAATGTTAAATATAAATTTATGGCAGACAACACGCTTGCGGCATACTAAACATTTCTATAGATGGCAACGGGCAACGCCCTCATGGAGGGGCCGGAGCCTACACACATTAGCAAAATGAAGCTATTTCGATGGCCATTACAGATTTGCTCCATTGTGTTGATTTCTTTTGTGGAACATTTGTTGCTACTAAATGTGATACGATGACAAAATTAGGTTAGCAGCTGTTTTGGGCTTGGAAATAGGCCTGAGATGGTAACTATTTTTGACAGCTAATGAATTTTTGAGGCATGTACATTTTTCGATTGTTGTTGATAGTTTAAGTGAAACAGTTTTGGGATATATTTACATGAATGCCAAAATGTCGGATTCTGAACAGCAAAAATTCGGCAGCGTCGGGTGCATCTGCAACTTAGCCGATGCAATGCTCAGCGATGCTTAAAAATTAATATGTGATGCTAAAGGGACGCATTTGCGTCCTCTTAGTGGACCTCTAAGACAGGCAAGCATGGCCACGCCAAAGTCTATCTTGTTGGCATCGACATATTTACACAGAAACAGTAAGAGAAAATGTAAACGAGAGGATTTCCACCTCACCGATATTAGTAATGATGGCTTCCTATGTGTGATGAAAGGGAAAGAGCTTTTGTGCACCGTGATGAAAACCCGTGGAGAGGAATGCGATATCTCCGTCAGAAACAATACTTCTTTGGATAACAAACTTATCGAGGTAGTATCAACTACAGACCTGATACTGGAAAAGTGTAATGGTATAATGAAGTACTATCAATTAAAAGATTGAAATTAAAGCCTCTGAGTATTTTTATACAACATTTGCATATTATTTTTAATATTTTATTTATTCTTTTAAAATTGGGTAGAAGTTCCGGCAAATAAGTGGACGATTCGAACCCTGCTTTTAGGTTGGTTTCCGGTTTTGGTTTAAGTCTCGGTCTGACATATTCATAAACATTTTAATAAAACAGCTCAATTTGTTATTTTTAAATAAGAAGTAAATTGCAGTCCGCACATAACAAGGTTTGCTTGATCCCAAAAATCTGTCGCATCCTGAAACTGTTTTTAAAATTTTTAAATAAAAATACGGTTTTGGCAGTTTGGCCAACTGGCTTAAGGTTCGATTCAAAGCCTAAAATAAATTAGATAAATTAGCTCAAAGTCGGTTTGAAGGCTTGTTTTCTATGCAAACTACTTCCTCACAGCAAATACACTATGCAACAGATTTTTGTAAATCATTTTTTCTTAATTCTTGGACTTGCCTTGGTCAGAAATCACAGCCCTAAAATAACATAGTTTTCGGCGCCGATGTTGATTACATTTTTAATATTTGCTTTACTCGAAACAAAAGACGTAAAAATTTACAGAAAATATAAAATTTCCATTTAGTATACACTTCAACATATATTTTGTACAATGCCTGGCGGTTACGATGGGGCTGTGACAATATATTCGCCCGATGGACATTTGCTGCAAGTGGAATACGCCCAAGAGGCGGTGCGCAAAGGTTCCACAGTGGCAAGTGGCAAGTTTCATTTTTGTTTTTGCCCACGCATTTAATGGCTTTTTCCACGGTACTGCACAGGTGGGACTGCGCACGAAGGATTGCATTGTGCTGGGCGTAGAAAAAAAGGCCGCGGATACCCTGCAAATAGAGCGTACAGCGCGTAAAATTAGAAAACTGGATGATCATCTGATAATAACATTTGCGGGTCTCACGGCCGATGCTCGCATATTGGTGAATCGCGCCCGGAGCGAGGCTCAGAGCCATCGACTGAACTTTGAGCGACCCGCAACTGTGGAGTATATTACACGGTGAGTGGCCTTGAATTATCTGAAGAGATCCTGAAAATGTTGCTTCTGATAGATATCTGGCGAAATTGAAACAGAACTATACGCAGAGCAATGGACGGCGTCCGTTTGGCGTCTCCTGTCTGATAGGTGGCTTCGATGCGGATGGGCAGCCGCATCTATACCAGACCGAGCCTTCGGGCATCTACTACGAGTGGTCGGCCAATACGACAGGTCGTCTGGGCAAAACAATGCGCGAGTACTTGGAGAAGAATGCATCTGACATGGCCAGCTCGCCCGACGATGCCACAGCCGTAAAGCATGTGGTGCGCGCCCTGTTCACGGCCACAGCCCTGAATGCCAACTTCTATGAGCTGGCCGTGCTCAAGTACCAGCAGCCACTGGAGATGGTCAGCCCAGCGGTGGTGGCTCATCTGGTGCAGGTCATTAAGCAGGAGAACGCCGAGGAGGAGGCGGCCAAGCAAAAGCAGCGTGGGAAGTCCTGATTAGCAGATATATACTATATGATATATTTTCTTCTGTGTTAAATTCACGTTAGCCAGCGGCATATTTGTTAACCTTTCGGCCCAATCAAGACTTGATGAACTTTTTCTTTTGGCAATTTAATTTTAACCTCTGCCCTTTCGGGGCCGGCAAAAGTAATCAGCACGAAAAATGTGTAAAGTGAGCAAATCACTTAATTTGCCTCAAGGGCATCTTTATGTACTTCGGCATCGAAAACTCCACACTCTTCACTCAATCCTGAACGGGCCAGTCGACCTAGCCAAACTTGGCCAGCCTTTGTGTGCGGACAGCGGATGGCAGAAAAAAAGCGAGTTAAGAACTTTTAAGTGAAAATGGAAATTGAATTTGCGCCAAAATTGCATGCCGGCACAAACATACACTCATGCGTAGCTTGTGGCATGCTGCCTTCTTTCCATTGGCAGCTTGTTTGTTGCCTTCAATATTTTTCAGCCATTCGCAAAATACAGATTTTAGCCAAGTGGCATTTTCAAGGTGTTCGAGCTCGCCTGGTTGGGGCAACTGTTTCAATCAAATGTGCGCCTTGGGTAACGCCTCGAGTTTCCCTCCACATCTATGATGGCATACCATGGCGCAGGCATGAGTGTATTTATTGGCTTGAGAAAACAAGCTGTGAGCTCTGATTTTTTGCAGTTGCTAACTTTGTTAATATTGATAGGCTATTGGAAATTCTTCTAAGTTGAGGTATTTCTACTTGGTTCACCCTTTGCTATGCGCTATTTTCTTGTGTATTCTGATTTCTTAGCACGGGCCAAGTATTTTTATGAACATATCAATTATTGGCTTTCACCCATTTTCCGCCAATGCAGGTGTATTCTTGAAATCCATTTAGTCGAGTTTTGCGATTAAAGCCTTCTTAAATGTAATAAATCCAGTACTTTGGTTATATCAAGACAAGAGTTTTATACTTTTGCAATCGTTTAAATTAGATAAACAAATTCAAGATCAAAATTCACAATTTTTACGGAAATGGGATTGGTTCTTATACCGAAAACTTTTGATTATCTCATTTCCAAATAAATTTCACAAGCCCAAAAATGCACTTCGCTTCAAGATCGGACTTTATTCGACTAAGCTACAGTCATTTAAAATTTGGAAAAAATTTTATATTTTAATATCTCGAGTAGACTAAGTCTGATTTTGAAATGCTTTAGCTTTTTAAGCTCGTTTGGATTAGGACTATCGATTGAAATTTAAATTTGCAAGATATGCAAAGGAGTTGCATTAAAATTTTTACGAAAATGAGGTCGGTTCTATAGAATTTCTATAGAATTTGACGAGCTCGTTTTGAAATTTGCTATAAAATTGCCAGAGCGTAATAATCCAAAACAATTTATGTTTATTAGGGTAATTCCTGTATATTATAATTTCCTTGTTTAGCATCTCTGTTAGCCCTTGAAACTAGTCATGCCCGCCTGCATTATTTCATCAGTCAGCAGTAGATTGCATGCGATGACAGAGCATGAGTTCAGCATTAGTTTCTTAACGCAGTAGTTATCGAAGACGCGTTTTTCTGTTGGATTCATGGGCTCTCCTGTATCCAAATCTAGCCCGACCAGCTGCTCACTCTCCTTGGCAGCCGTCGTCAGCTTCACGATGGTGTCCTGCACATCAAAGCCGCTATTGATGGCCAAAGTTTTGGGTATGACGAGCAGCGAGTCGGCGAACAGCTGAACCCCCAGCTGGGCTTTACCCTTAATCCAGAGCTTGAACTTGGCCAGTTCCTTGTAGGCGTGCAGCTCGAAGGCACCTCCGCCGGGCACTAGACATCCATCCTCAATGGTATTCTGTATGGCATGGAGTCCATCGCGAATGGCATCTTTAATGGTGTCAGTCTGGTGACGCGAGGGAGATCGAATCAGTATGGTCACAGAGCTGGGATTGCGGCATTGCCGCACAAACGTATATTTCGTTTCGCTCAGTTGTTGCTCATACACTAGGCCTGCATAGCCCAGATGCTCCTCGCTCAGATCCTCCAGCGAGTGCAACGCCTCGCCGCCGCAAGCACGAATCAGTCGCTCCATGTTACGGCGCTTGGCACGACGCAGGGCCAGAATGCCAGCGCCGGCAAAGGCCTCCAGCGAGGGTATATCGATGCCCTTCTGATTGATGACTACAAAGCCACGCCTATTGTTGCTGCAAAGCTTTCGCTTCAGCTCAATAATCTTGGCCACACGCTGATCGATAAAACGATGCTCCTCGATGACGCATTTCTCACGCTCCTCGGCAGACTTATAGCAGAAACTCGAATCGACGGAGGTCTTCTCCAGCTCCAGCGACACATTGCAGGTAAGTATGTACGCCTGCTCGAGGTATGTGGGCATGTTAGCATGCCGCCCACCATGGTCCAGCACCAGCCCTTCCACCAGTTGCGTTTCCAGTGTTGTGTATTGTTTCATATCCATGAGTTCGATCATATTCAGATCCAGAAGCTGCTGCCTATCGCTGCGTATGCTCAGCACAGCATCCACACAGATTTTGGCTAGCAAGTCCGCCAAACTCGCGTCCACTTTGGTTCTCAAACTGGTCTGGGCTAGTGCCACAAGTATGTCGCGTTCAATCTCAACGGGCATGGAGAGCGACTGCAGCAGCTGTATGGCCTGATCCTTGGCCTGCATAATGCCATTGGTAAGCTGGCGAGGATGCAGTCCCTCCGCAATGAGCAGATCTGCCTGCTTCAGCAGCTCACCAATCAGCAGCACAGTCGAGGTGGTGCCATCCCCAGTGGCTGCATCCTGCGCGGTGCTGGCCCTGGCAATCATCGAGGCGGTCGGATGACAGAAGTGCATCTCTTGCAGCAGCACGTTGCCATCCTTGGTGATCTTTATATCGCCGGCCGGCGAGATGAGCATCTTGGTGGTGCCCTTTGGTCCCAGATTGCTGGCCATCAGTCGCTGCAGACCCGTCGCCGCCGTAATGTTAATGGCCAACGCTTGAGCGGCGCGAGCGATTTCCGCCTTCGGGTTTAACAGACTTATCGCTGCCATTGTCGAGTTCTGAATAAAAAAAACTTTTTGGTAGAATAATCTAGTCAACAATTTTATATATGCTTTCTTCAAGTTTTTCGACTGAAAATTACTTGGGGAGATCGAGATAGAGATATAACAAGGATAACGTGTTGATATAAAAACTTTTTCTGCGAAGCTTGATGAAAAACTTTTCTACAATTTCTGCACCGTAACAAATCAATTTAAACCAGCTTGGCAGCTCTATATCTTTTGACATGTGAACCAATTTAATGGAGTATGGCAACTCTGTTAATCTTGATACTTTATGCCTTGTTCTCACAGCATTCTTTGATTAATCGGAACGTATTGTTATCATATCAGATGTCACAAGGGAAATGAAAGACAGTACAGGACGTTTTATTTGGAAGGGGTAAAAAATGGTAATGCATGTGATAATAATTTGTAAGGTTAAAGAATCTATAACTCACTCCACAGAAATCCAAAAGAATTTATAGCATACATTATTTTTCCTTTTTTTTTTTGTTTGTTTATTGTATTGAATCAAAAATAGCATACATTTTTATTACAACACAGTTGGCTTAGGTGATATTACGCCAAGCCTGTTTGGGTCCTCAGGCTTTATCGTGGACAAACGTCAAAGGCGGCTTTTTGAGTAAGGCTGCATCGTCACGTAGGTAGTCGGGGGACTCTGGGGCGTCTCCTATGTCGTGGTTGGAGGAGGTCCTTGAACAATAATAATTTGTAAGGTTAAAGAATCTATAACTCACTCCACAGAAATCCAAAAGAATTTATAGCAGACATTATTTGACCATTGTAACTTTTATTTTAAGTTAGTATTAGTATTTTTTAAACGTGTGTCGTCAGCTTATAAACTCTCGTCTGCCACATTTTCACAGCATTCTAACATGAGGATGAGAAAACGAAACGCAATTAAGCTTAATGGAAAATTATGCCATTAGACAAAATTAAAAGCTGGCGTAACGAATGGCCGAATAAAAAATATTACAGTCACAAATCTCTTGGGCGGACAGCGACCGTCAGGTAGAACCTAATAGAAGGAAAATGTACGCTCAAAAGGAGTGTTAATTAGGAGAGTTTTCACTGAATTATAATAATAAATTCCCTTAGCTAAAACACACTTTAGGCATGGCTCAAAATCATGTAGGTTAATTTGTTAGTTTATCTTGTGGTATTGATAAAACTTCGGTTAGATCCAAGCAAAATCGTTTCAGATTTACGAATGAATGAAATACATAATCACTGCTGATGAGAAATTATTTCATAAAGTTCTCATTTATTTCTACGTTTTCTCTTTTCTGTAAACGGGTGTAAGTTGCCGTTTAATAATAAATTGTAGAGCCCTTAGCAGAGCTCTGCTGTTGTGCATTCTAGATTGTCCAATCAAAATCCACTTGCAGCAGGCTGCTAAGCCGTTAATAGGAATTACTTTCAGCAGTGGCAGCTCGCACAGGACTCAAGTCCTGCCGTCCTGTGGTCCCTTTGCCAAACCAATAAGTCATGCCTTTATTATTATTTACAGTCTCCCGCCGTCTTCTCACTTGCCACTCAACTGTGTCGAGTGCCGTGTTGCCTCTTGCCTAGGTGCTACTCTCGACATACCCACAGCGGCTTGTGTTTCTCCGTTTTCCAGAGTTTCCTGATTTTTCCTGCTGCTCTCGCCCAGCACTCACACTTATCACACTTAATTTCATTAAGTAATTTTTCATACTGCAACTTTTATTGAGTTTTAAACTGGCAGAGCGCATAATGCGAGCGCACAGCCAAAGTGTGAGAGGCGAAAAGAAGAGCGACAACGGTGGTGCAAAAAAAGAGAAAATGTGTGCGTGTGTGTGTATGTGTGTGCGAAGGCAAAAGTGCTAGCATTTTGTTTAATATTACAATTGAGCTGTGCTTGGCTTTTCCCACGTATACGCCATGGGTTCTTTCTTTGCCATTGTCTGCTGCTTGCTTTTCCTTGCGCTTTAGTCTTTGCAACAGTTTTTCCGTTTGCATTTACTCATTTTATGCCTTTTGTTCGAGGCCACTTGTTGAATTTCCTTTTGTATTTTGTTTGTTTTATGTATTGTTGTTGTTTGTTATAATTGCCATTTTGGTGTCGTTTAGCATGCTTGTATTCTCATTAGTAAAAGGCCTTCTTTTCAAAATATTTGAGTTTTTCTTGTGCCCCATTATAATAGAATGCCCAGCTTCCAGGGCAATCAAATAAATTAAAATGTTAATGACTTGGTCAATTTTTTGCAAACTCTATTTTATTTATTAATTTGCATTTATGTTCGTCTTCCTTAAAAAGTTATTGCTTGTTTAATGTCTTAGATAAACAGTTTTTAATTTAATTTTAAAAATGCTAAGCGAGTTCATTAGGGAACAAGCCTTAAATATGAACATGGAATTCCGGTTAACTATTTTCTTTCCTGAACTCTTTTGTTTTCTGCCTAAAAAAATGTATGCTTTGCCCAACTTTGCAAATGTATTTTTACAAATCCTGTTGAGTAAACAGTGGAATTCAATGAGATTTAATACTCTGTAATTTTACCATGTCTGGATGAGTATCATATATATGCAATATTTATGTTACAAAAATTTCAATAAAATACTGAGACTATATATTTTCGGATATATATTTAATGTAATATATTTTAATCATTTTAAGATAATATATATTGGACCCTTTTAAATATATCCGTTGATTTTTTTTTAAGTTTCTAAAAGTTTTTCCTGTAAACTATAAATGAAGTTAGGACAATTGCAGTTGCAAGCTATTCTTTAAATTTTTAAATATTTGTCTAGAAAAAATTTGCTAAATTAAAAATATAAGTGATAAAATGTAAAATGCAAATGTTAAGTATTCTCAATTTATGTGCAGAGTATCTGCTAGTCAACTACCTTCTGGTATTCTGTGTAGCATACCAACTTGTTATTTGTCAGTCCAAATGGAATTTGAAAGGTGCACAAAAAATTGAAATGTTTTCGGCACTGCAATGCCCTTTTATGGAAAAAAATAGAGAATTGAATTTTGAGCCAAACACGGGAGTAGTCGCTGCATGCCACCCCCTTCACCCGAGGGCCATTGTTAGCTGCCCCGCCCGCCTGTGAGTAAAAAAATGGATCCACAAACTATTATAGCAGAGCTAACGCTATCTGAGCCTGATGTAGCATATAAACTTCAAGCGTAGTCCCTCGACTTTTTGAAATAAAATTGTATAAATATTTAAGAAAATGATTTTCAGAAAGATTTCGTAATTAAAAAAATGCTGTAATTTCAGCGTATTATTTAAGTATTTAATGAATTAAGTTCCTTAACTTCTTTCTTCTTTTGACTCTTTGGTAAATATTATTTTCATATTTCAGAATAGAAGTTATCTTTATTGTAAAATTCAACTGGTGTGTGCCTGGCTTCAGTATTGGCTCATGCTTTAAATGGCTTGACCTCCTTGGAAGCGCTTCGTTGAGAGGCTTTGGCTGGGGTCATCTTTTGGGCAATTTATGGTGAAGTGTCGTGCTTGGAATAGACGGTCAAACGGACAGATTGGCCGACCAATAAACGATCTGTGGCCACCGCTGCAAATGAGTTAAGTTTGGCGGCTGGCAAACTTTTCATAACTTTGCTAAGAAGATGCGGACCGTTGCGTTAATTGGAGCTGTGGGCTCCACTAAGCGCCGTCGCGCCGCAGAATACAAAGTTTAATGGGGGAGCTGATTAACCCGTCGGGAGGCGCAGCCCCAAAGATGTTGAAGAGAAAAGAAAAGCGCAGCGTAATTATCTTGATGAGATTCGCCTGGGCAGCTATCAAGTCGAAGGTGACCCGTGCCCCGTTGCTGTTGGGGGTTCATCAACCCGTTGCGGGTTAAATTAAGTTATGTGCACTTGAACGGAACGTTTGACATGTCTCCTTCTAATAAGCTAAATGAAAACAAAAATGTCATCCAAGTCAGTCGCAAATTGACGACAAAGTAACCTAATAACTTTGCCCACACAATAATTGGAATTTATGACTCATTTTTCTACAACTATACTGCAAAAGGGCCATTGGCCCGCCGGACACTCCGACACTCTCAGCTGGACACTCTGCCCAGACTCTTGTCTTGTGTTAAATAAAGCGCGGCAGAACCAATACAAGGGTTATGCCCAACGCCTTGGACTGGACCCAACCTCAGGTCCTTTCAGGCGGCGAGCAAATAGCAAAGTGATGGAAAAAAAGATGTGGAAAAGTTTGCGCCAAGTTTAAGTGCTTTTAAAAAACCATTAACGTCATTTCCTGTGCCGTCTGTGCGAAGAGTATACAGAAAAAGAATGTCCTGGCGTTTAGGTAGATTCCTTTTTTTACTTTGCACTCTCCCATTGGGACAAGCAGGAATACAAGATACACTAGATGAACGTAAATTTTGAAATGGCCACAACAGAGCTGTTCAATCGAATTGTTTTTGGGTTTTCGACCAAGTGGTTTCCGGACATGACTTGACGGCGCGTGTCAGATCTACTGTGCTGACGAAAGGAAAATTTTCAGCTTTGGCTTGAGCTAAAGGCTTTGCGGTCCAATAACGTGTCAGATCCGGCTTTCGAGCGCTGCGTTTTGTAGATCCTGAATTAATACTGTATTTGGCTGTTGTGGACTCTTTGCCAGCCGCAACTTTCTTAGAACTAAATTTTGATAGTGTTGATTCAGTTTTGGCTGCCTTTTTCTCTGCTTCGGATGTGAATTTCGGACTGGGCGCCCTTGGCTCGCTGGGCGGCATTGGCTCGCTGGGCGCCTTTGGCTCGCTGGGAGGATATTCTTCGCCTGGCTTCATCACCTGCATAACACTTGGAAGAGAGCAATTGGTTTCCGGACACGACTTGACGGGGCGTGTCAGATCTATTTTGCTGACGGAAGGTAAATTTTCAGCATTGGTTTGAGCTAAAGGCTTTGCGGACGAATAACGTCTCAGATCTGGCTTTCGAGCGCTGCGTTTTGTAGATCCTGAATTAATACTGTACTTGGCTGTTGTGGATTCTTTGCCAGCCGTAACTCTTTTAGAACTAAATTTGGATAGTGTTGATTCAGCTTTGGCTAGAGTGGACTCAGCTGCCTTTTTCTCTGTTTCGGATGTGTAATTCAGACTGGGCGACCTTCGCTCGCTGGGCGCCTTTGGCTCGCTGGGAGGATATTCCTCGCCTGGCTTCATTACCTGCATAATACTTGGACAAAGGCAAGCGCCATCACTTGGTGGACAATCTCTGCACGGCGTCGCAATCTCCTTAATGCTTGGACACTTGGCAGGTGGCAGTTCCATCTCGTAGCAGATAAATCCAGGCATATCCATGGAATGGACGCTGTCCATGGTGGGCATGCCGCGGTGCTGGAAGCAGTGCATGGGACACTCGATGGTGCAGCGCTTATACGGTCGCTCCTCGGATGCCATTTTGGTGATCTTGATGCAATTGTTAAAAATAGAGTGGCGCTCCTTCTCCTGTTCGCGTCGGCACCCCTCGCGATGCTCGTACTTTCTGTAGGCCAGCTCCGCCTTGGAGTAGTAGCCTGGCCAGCAAGCGTCGCGTAACTTGCTTCTACGCACCATTTGACCCTCGGGCACCATGTCCAGATGGTTCTCCCGGCGGTATTCCTCGACAGCTTTGGCAATCGGATACAAGGGCCGACCGATGGATTTCGAATCCTCCATTGACTTGACTGCTCCCTCGAAGAAGAGAACGTCTTCCTTCAGATGGGGATCTTCATCGCAAGCAGTAATCCGCATTAGCTCCTCTTGACGCTGATCCAGGAATTCCTTGCGCTGGCCGCACAGTATATCGCGCAGATCGGCGGTAACCTTATCCTGTTGCTTCTTGGCGACAGTCGCAAACTTTCTATTTGCCTCTTCGTTCTTGAATCGTGTAGCGATCTGGTAACGACGAATCTCTGCAAGGCGTTCATCTTTCTCTTGCTGCTGTTTTTGACTCTCCAGCTCGTACTGCCGGCGCTGCTCCGACAGCTTCTTGATCTCACATTGCCGCCGTAGCTCATCCATGCGTATTTCGTCATCATTCCGATCCACAGCTTTATCCTGCATGTGTTGCAGCTGACGTTTTGTGGCCTGCTGGTTCTGGCAGAGCTGCACAGCGTGTGCCTCCAGCTGACGGATGCGGCTCTGGCGCATATCCTTCGTTTGCTTGTTGAAGCGTACATCCATATTTCGCTGTGTTGTCTTATCGACGCAGATAATTCGGTCCTCGATATTGTCACACATGCTCTCGACTATGGATTGGATTGTAGTTGGATCAAAAGGCTAATCAAATCGAGTACTTTCAACTTACACTTGGCTTTCTCGGCCTTTTCCTTGAGAGCCTCACGATAGGCACTTCGGCAAAACTCGCGCTTCTTTTCTGCCAACGCCTTAGCGGCTTTCTCTTCCTGCTCCTGCATGCACCTGTACTTTTCGCGCTGTACAATGCTATCTAATACCTCGTGCTCCTTCCTAGCCTGTCTGCGCAGACGTCTTGCTTCGAGGTCCTTCAAGTAATAAGCGCGCATGTCGTTCGCCTTGGTGACCTGCTGTGCCTTCTCCTGCTCCTCAGTCACATGGCCAAATGGTATCAAAAATTCCGGACACTGCTTCTCGTCCAGTTGCTGCTGGCGTCGAGCATCCTCGGCAAATTCACACTTGAGCGCTTGATTGTAATCGCGTTGGTAAATCATTTCGCTGTTGAGCACAGCCTGGTGGAGAGCACGCGGACCTGGCTTCAAGTAGTTCAAAATTCGATTGGCACGCATGATGCGCTCCTTGCGCATCTGTTCCAGCAGCTTCTGTGCCTGTTGATCTTTTGCCACTTCAGCCAGGGCCTTATCTCTGGTAGCCTGACGTTGGTCATCGTCCTCGCCCTGCGTATCGGCCAAGTTTTTGAAGCGCTTCAACAAGGCATCGTTACCATCTTTGAGGTATTGCTTGTACCGTTGCTCCTCCTCAATCGCCTCCAGCATCTCCTGCTTTTCCTTCTGGTTCGATCTGTCCACAATACCATTGTAGCGTTCGGCCGATATTACCACAGGCCGAAACCCTATGTGAAATCTTTTGTACTCCTTGTGGCCCGGCTCTGCAGCGCATGCCCTGTTTAATTTCATTTCTAAGCCGTGAAGGATAGTGTATTGTGGAATGTAAGTTGTGGAAAAACCGCAAATTGCAATAATTCCCAAAAGTAATTACAATAAATTGTGTAACTGTGTAGTGTATTTTTATGTATTATTTTTTTTTTTTTTATTTTTTACGTTGTACTATATTTTTTTTTGTCATGGATTACTGTTTGAAGGTATTTAGTTGCCCTAACATATAGATAAGAGCCTTGTGACAGGAACAAATATTAAAGTAAATGCTTCTTCTAATCAATGTTAATTTAGCTATCATTTTTCTCTTGTTCATATTCATATTATATAATATCATATTCATATTACAGTATAATTTGCTTAGCTGCCTCGAAACTTACCTGCATCGGTAAGATAGCTGCCTGAAATTTTGTAGCTGCACAAAACTTAAGTAATTTTAAATGATACACGATTGAGAAAGTAAGGATATCTTCAGGACGCCGAATACTTAATACCCTTGTAGATACTTCCCTTTTGCAGATATGTGAAAAAAGTGCTGCTCGAAAATGTTGACCTTGTTAAAAGTAACTTTGAAAACAGTATATATTGCCATATAAGATTCTACTATTTCACCGATCTTTCCTATAGCAGCATTATTATAAGTATATTGGTCCAATGTTGATAGGATTCCGATAGGGTTCCGACACATGACTGTATCTAATCGACTGTTAATGCTGATCTAGAATATATATACTTTATGGGGTCGGAGATATCTCCGTCTGCAAGGGTAACAAGAAAAATGTATCTACGTGACAAGAAGAAAGGAGCTTATTTTTAAAAAATTTCAGATAGTATGAATATAATACTAAAATTAGACGGCCAAGAAAAGTTAATTCTCGTTTAAAAATTACTTTCAATGCTAAACTGTTCAGAAAAGTAAAAGGGAAAAGCGCTTACCTTTAGACTATCTTGGCCATTCAATTGTTTGTCGCCAGAATTGGATAAACCTCAATTAGTGTTTTAGGCTGCTTAATCAAATTAGGCAAAGCCCTTGTGGCATGTACAATTCCTATTTAGTAGGGGCGTCCAGTCAGTGACCGCGTGCTGTGAAATCCAATTCCCAGCTGCCGGAAAATTATACAAAAAAAAACGAAAAAAAAGAAAACCCAAATGGAGGCAAAAGAAAAACACAGTCGGCCAGAGTAAAGTTGACTTTCATGCGAAAAGTTTTTTGTGAAAATCGCTGGGCGTGAGATTTTCTGCGCGCAGAATGTTGGGCTCTTGCCCTTCCCGTGAGGGTGCGTGGGGAAGTGGGTGAGGTCGGTGGCTTCTTTCGGTGGTGGGCGTGATCCTATGCCAAACACTGGCGATTATTGTTACAGAACGCAGCGGGCCGTGTAATTTTTTGGCATGGAGCACGCACTGGGACTCAAAAATGGAAATTCAAACTCGAATTCACATTCTGAATCTGAATTCAGTTTGAGATTCAAATTGCCCAAAGAAACCGCCGTCGTGGCGAACTTTTCCATGGCTACAGGGACTTCTATGTTCCCTGTTGTAGGCGCAGGGGGCGTGGCACGCGGTAGATGTGAGCTTCATTGTGCCTGCCTTCTGGCTGCTGGAAAATTGTTTTGTGAAAATTAGTTTTTAAACTTTTCTCGCTCTTTTTCCATCGTTTTTATTATTTGGGTTGCCATTTCGTATAGGAAATCAAAATCTAAGCGCAATGTGCGAAATTAATTTGCATTTTGGTTTGGTTCACGTTATCATTTTATTCCCGTTTTGGGGGGGGCAAATAAAAATCAAATTTAAATAATTTTTAATTTATTTAGCTTTACTTTTCTTTTTAATTTTCCTTTTTTGAATGTGTACAATTTGGGTTCGCGCTGGCTCGTTTCGACGTAATTGCTTTCAAATGGTAGAGCAAAATGCGGTGCATTGGGAAAAACTTTTTCGCATTGGCTCTTTTTGGGACATATTTGATGTGTTAATTTGTATGTCCATTTTGAACGCTGATCATGTTGAAATAGGCATCACTAACAAAAAAAAAAACCTAGACGAGTGCGCGTTAAAATATAATTAAAATAAAATATGTTCTCTTAAATAAATAATAAAATTGTGATTTGTTTTGCGGACAGGCACGATAGAAACACCATGCTGAAAATGTATTATTATTATATTTATTTAATCTTTATTGCATTTAAATCCATTTCACAACTTATGTTATGACATATTTTTCTTGTTATAAAGCATTTCGCTCAGTATATGGTATTACATGTATTTGTATTTGAAATATTTTCTCGTCTAAACTAAAATTGTCTTAAGTTTTAAAGTTATTTGTTTGCATTTAACTATTGCTTTTTAGCTACAAATGATGATTCACTTTAATTTTCATATACATAAACTCACATAAATTCATGACAATCACAAAGTTAGGATTTGATTTTGTTTTTCATTTGACATTGTGCAATTTTGTTTTCTGATTGATTTGATTGTTGCTTTGAAGATAAAGAACAAGTACTTTATATGTATAACCACAACGCTTTAAGAACCATCAACATTTATATGAACTGCAATACGCATAATATATATATATTGTTGAATTTGGAGCAACTGACAGAGAACAGATTGAATAAAAGAATCGTAATAGTATATAGCTTCTTCAGATTCACAATTGAGTAATAAGTCGGCTAAATGTCTGGCCATTTGGAAAAAGGAAGTCTACTATCTCTATTAATAAAAATTCTCACAACATATTTATCTAATACCATAGATTACTGCCATTCGGGCAATAATACATAGAGTTGCCTACTAAACTACGATTAGATTAACAATCAAACCGAATGGAAAGTGTTAATGGTGTTTGATTTGCCTTAGCCACACATTACAACATACCTATGTTTACCTACTAGTATTATAATGAATTTATTTTGATTATACACACATATGACACACATTAATCTGTTTAAGCTTTGAAGCTCGCTTATGGTAAAAATCTATCACAAACATACATATAATGAACACTTATTATGCTTAAAACTGGCGCATATATGTTTACACCTAATGTAATTATTTTTAGATTGAAGTTTGTTAAAGCTGCTGAAATTTTGAAAGTATTCATATAGTCCAAATAATCTTTTAATTCGGATTCTTAAAAATCATATATCTAATATTTTTAAATTCGCAAACAGAATTAATCAGATTTTAACAGTTCAACATTTGTTGCTGTAGAAAATGAATAGAAATTTAATTTATTCAGATTGGGGATTGAAATAAAAGATGAAATTATTTCTAAAGTACAGAAAAATTAAAGTCACTTGTAATTGCATATAAAATATTTTAAAATAATAAAAAATTATATTTCGATTTTTTTGACACTGCGTTTCGCAAACTGTGATATATATAGCCAAGATGTAAATTTGTTTTAGCAAGATTACACATTTTTTTAAAAGAAAATGCGTTAAATAAAATGTTTGTCAATGCCAATTTCTTTTTGATATTAAAGTTATATATAATTAAAATGGAAATCAAATATTTGAAACCGTAGAAAAAATGCGAACAAATGCTTAAATTTAAACTTTAAACAGTACAAACAGATTGTTAACTGATTCGTTGCTATAGAGGGGGCTACAACTTTTCAAGCTTTATTTAACGCTAAAGGACATGCGCAATATTTAGACAGACACACACACATTTACACACACTATTACAGTTACTGTTCGACCCCAGCAGTTATCATAATCCTAAATATCCTTTTACTTGCGATACTCGGCCATGGACTCGCCCCCCAGCGCCAAAGACGGCGGTGGACTGTGACAGGCGACGCGCACGCGGCTCAGGCGCAAGCTGCCCGTGTGATGGGCGCCGTGGGGAGCGTGAAGCATGGCCCGGGCTTGTGCCTGCTGGTGCAGTGGGTGGTGGGCGCACTTGGCCTGCCGGGCCAGTTGATTGTTGGCGAGTATGACGTCCTCTGCGTACTAAATGTCCGGTATGCTGCGACCGGCGGCCAGTTTGGCGGCTACAGTTGAGACGGAAGCTGATGCGGCAGCATCTGCGGCAGTGCCGAGCAGCTTGCTCTTGGCGCAATTGGCATCATGGAATAGATGCTCGCAGAGCTTTGGCTCTGATGTAGAAAATTTACTCAGCTCGGCGGCGGTGGCTTCCTGTGCAGCGGCAGACACGTTCAAATGCATATCGCTGTGCTTGCTAAACGAGGTGGTTTGATGCTGTTGCGGCTGATGCACCTGATGCACATGTCCATGGACGCCCACGCCGGTGTGCTGATGATAGGGGAAGTGCGGGAAACTCTTCTGCATGGCATGCAGGTTGCCCGAGCTGACGGTGCGCTCCAAAATCTCGCCCCAATACTTCTCCGAGAGACCCTCAATGTCAGGGCGTACTGTGGCATAGCCATCACCAGCAATCTGATGTGCATGACTGTGCGCTCCACCGCCGCCCAGTGTGCCCCTGATGTACTGCGAGGCGCTGCGGCTCAAACTGTTGGCTCTGGAACGTGCACAAATGCCAAGCACAGAGCCGCCAATGGCGCTGCCAATGCCACCGCCAACACCGCCGCCAACCCCGCCACTGGCACCACCATTGTTCGCCGGCGGCCGCGAGGCGGGCGGCTCTGGCGGCAACGGAAGCGTTGTGATTTCAAAATCGTTAGCATTGATGTGACAACAGGCTGATTTGTGTTCGGGCGTGTCCTCGCTGGGAAAGCACTGAAACGAGCACAAAGTAAAAGCATCATAAATCTGGTCTAAGTTTCGAAATTAATAAGCATTTCAAATTCGCATTTATTACAGATAGTCCAGTTGTATAACTGAGCCCAACAATCGGGCAGCTCGTGACTCGTGACACGAATAAGAAACGTCTTATGTTTTCGCCACAAGCGATATTTTTTCAATTTTACAAGATATTGTGGTTTATTTTTGCTATTACTTCTGTTCATTTAATAAATAATATTTTAAGAATGTTGTCTGCCGTCACCATTGTAATAATTATTTTAAACCATTTGGTTTTTTTATATATTTTTTCAGCTGAAGAAAAATTAAAATTGCATGCATAATATATAAAACTGAGCATAACATCGAGATGAAATGTTGCTTTATTTGCAAGAATATATTTTATTATTGTCTTTTATTAAGTGTTGGCTTAAACAATATCTGA